TTGTTGCCTTCTAGCTCGATCGACTAGGCTAAACTGGTTTGGCTCAACTAGGTCATCTTGGTCGGTTAAGCTTGGTCGGTAGAGATCGGTTGGATGATCCAGCCTAGTTGACTATCTTTGATCCCCGGTGAGAGGACTTTATGTCTTCCTTAGATGTTGGGAGATACTTTGTGGAAATGACTCTTTTGTTAGGTCGACTCTATGACGTGTGTGTATAATGTGCTTATTTGTCACTTTTCTATACATTTTTATATGTTTATGTTTTTTTTTTTTGGAAGGTTTTAGTGTTGTGTTGCAAGATTTAAGAAAGAAGGTCGAACAGAGCTTGGAATATGACAAAATGAGCCTAACTAGAGTTATAGTGCCTAGGCATCAAGACTGGGCACCTAGGCGGTAGATGCAGATCTAGATTGTGCAGAAAATAGGGCAGCTGGAAATTAAGCGCTAAAAGGCTTGAAAATAGGCACCTAAAATAGGTCAATTCCGAGCAACAGACCGAGTTGCTAGAAAGTAGGTGTCATCATAGTGACGCCTAAGCGTCAGACATTGGTGGCCTAGGCGTTGTCCACTCCAAGATTTCATCCATGATACAGAGCGCCCAAAAAGTACACCTCACAATTGCAGCGATTAGGCGTTGTAGGTGCCAGTCTACGACGCCTAGGCACCAGTTTGTGCAAATTGGTGATTTCTGTAGTTGGGATGTGTCTCTTCGCGGAAGAAGTTTAAAAATATTGGAAAGGAATTAAGAAGGGTCCTCTCTATTATTTTGAAGTGTGGAGCACTTGTGGAGAAAGTCGAAAAAGATCTACAACTAGCTTTGAGTGAATTGGGAGTGATTGGGAGATTGAGAGTGTATTGTGTGCTCGTAACTTCATCAGTCTACTTGGGATTGAAAGGGGATAAGTTTTTATATTTTTTGTTGGACTTTAATGGAACAATTTATAGACTCTTATGTATATTTTATTCTCTTAATACAATATTTATGTCGATGAAATATGGAATGCTTAGTGAGTAGATTTTTCTATTCTCTTTTGTAGTTGAAGTGTAGGGATGTTTATTTTGCATTGAGTTGTGATTCCTTGTGAAAACTTCTAAGAAGTGTTGGGTTAACTTTGAGATCCTTATTTACTTTTAACATGACTTGTTAATTCATTAAAAGACATCATGATCTTTGAATTTCAAAAGAAATCTAAGTTGAATGATTAAGTTAACCACACAAATTCATTGGAATAGGAATATTGCACTTGAATTTGTGCAAACTAGATAGGGAGTGTGTATGTCTTGGGCCTTTCACTCAATTTAGGGAACCAAACTAGTGAAATTGCCAAACTTCCTTAGACTGCTTGAATGGGATAAAAAAAGAATTTTCTTCTGTTTGACACACTCATTTGAATCACTTAGTTAAGTTTGCATTTATACATAACCACTTCGAAAGAGATTTTGGACAACACTTAACACAGAATTCTCTCTTCTTTGCCTTGATAGCATAGTGATCATTTTTAAAATTAGGATAGAAACTCTTGAAGAGCTTTGGAAACTCAAACCATTCAGGCTATGACCGATAATAGTAAACTAGAAAATTTTTCTCTTTTTGGGCTTCATTTAGTTCCCTGTGGGATCGATACTCAGAACTATCTTCTGAATACTACTAATACAACAAATATACTTGTGTGAGTAGTCAGTGTTTCGTCGTGTTTGGTTTGTATCACTATATTGTGGGGTAAGCTATCTCATCGACAAAAGAAATCTAAGTTGAATGATTAAGTTAACCACACAAATTCATTGGAATAGGAATATTGCACTTGAATTTGTGCAAACTAGATAGGGAGTGTGTATGTCTTGGGCCTTTCACTCAATTTAGGGAACCAAACTAGTGAAATTGCCAAACTTCCTTAGACTGCTTGAATGGGATAAAAAAAGAATTTTCTTCTGTTTGACACACTCATTTGAATCACTTAGTTAAGTTTGCATTTATACATAACCACTTCGAAAGAGATTTTGGACAACACTTAACACAGAATTCTCTCTTCTTTGCCTTGATAGCATAGTGATCATTTTTAAAATTAGGATAGAAACTCTTGAAGAGCTTTGGAAACTCAAACCATTCAGGCTATGACCGATAATAGTAAACTAGAAATTTTTTTTCTTTTTGGGCTTCATTTAGTTCCCTTTGGGATCGATACTCAGAACTCTCTTCTGAATACTACTAATATAACAAATATATCTAATACAACAAATATACTTGTGTGAGTAGTCAGTGTTTCGTCGTGTTTGGTTTGTATCACTATATTGTGGGGTAAGCTATCTCATCGAGTCGACTTTCCTGCAATTGATGTCTTGGATGCTCTCTTGGTCGAATGTCTTGAGATCAGTCGGTTATGTTGTTATCCGCCCTTTGGACTTGGTCGGCTTTGACCTAATTGACTTGGCTTGTCTGCTTGATGAGTCCTGCTCGATGAATCTCAGGATCTCCTTGCAGGGGATCTTCTTTCATCATGCTTCTTCATTTTGGACCATTGAATCTCTATGAGCTCAGCAAGAACTAATCTTTCTTCTATAATGGGAAGAGCAACCAACCCATTTTCCTAAACCATGCCCACCACTTCCTCCTATCACGGTTATCTGCTTTGTTTTGGTGAGAGGTCCCGCCCCATTCCTGCACAACAGCACTACCTATAAATAATTTTGCCAATTTTATATAAGCCCCACTAAAATAATTATAGAAACTTATATTTGTCGAGTTAGAAAAACATATGTAGCGCTACTATAATATAACTATATGTGATATCAAATGCTATATTTTAGTTTAAATGATATATTACATTATGCTTTTGGGAATCATTTTACTTACTATTCAATTCTTATGTATTTATGTATCTACCATGTATCGTGGCATGTTGATAGAGCAGTCTCTCTGAAGGTAATAAGTCCCTCAGGTCACGAGTTCGAATCGCCCCGAGTATACAGTGTGGTACTAGAATATTTAGTACACATAGGGATGGTTGTGGCTCGTCTAATAGCCTCTGATCATTCCTTTGAATATATATTTATACCATCTAAACTTATATATTTACCAACATAAATATATTGTTGTAATCAAGCTGGTTATAACGTTGATTGGATTTAACTTGGTAATATTATAAGTTATTAAGGCTTGATTTAGAGCTTGAGTCGAGCTTTCATATATATGTTCAAGATTGACTTATTTCTATTTTTTAATGCTTGAATTTGATTTGTACGCAATTTGTTTATGCCAATTAAAGGAGTATTTAAGTGAGTTAAATAAACAAACAAAGATTTTAAACAAGTATAATGGTTTTATATAAAGTTTTCAATGAATAATTTTGCAAATAAATTTTAAATTAGTATTAAATTAAATAACATATTCATTAATTAAAATTAATAATCTGAATAATAATAATAATAATAATGTGAAGAAGGAAAAAGGGTATGAGTGAACCATATTCTATAAATGAGAAAAAAGAATATTATATAATTAATGTGAATTATATGATTAATAAATATATTTTTTATATAATGATTAATTAATTGATATTAAAAAGTGTGATGAATTGAATATGTTGAATAAAGATGTATTAATTATTAAACAAATTATTAAAATAACTATATAATTAATTACTAATCATAAAACATTATTGACAAAAAAAAATATTATTATTAAATTTATAATTGTATGATTTATAGTTAATCAAATTTTGATTTTAAATAATATATCTTATATGATATGATTTATCATTACATTAACTAGTTAATTGTCGCGTTTGTTTGTGAGCATAAATAAATAAGTTATACAACACATATTTAATTCATTTAATCTTCAAGCTTTTAAAAAATGTTCCATTTTGTTTATTTATTAATTTAAACATGCATAATCATGTATTAATCAAGCCGAATTCGAGTTATTCATTGAGTGCATTGGTTCGTTGACAACACCACTATCATACATACCACTCAATTCTTATGTATTTAAATATATAATACCTAAATTTTATTTTTTTTATACTTATATGACATGAATCCTTATATTATATAAAAATATCATTATTTACTTTTAAAAAGCAGAATTCTTGTTATTCATATATAGATAAAAAAAATAAAGTTATGCGTACGCGCGTGTGCGTGTGTGAGTGCATGTGAGCTCACGCTGCATGTCGTGCCTCTTTGGTTAGCAGCTGCATTGTTAATCGTGTGTCTCCTGTGGTCACGCTTTTGTGTCTTTTTGAGTGCATCAGTCTTGCAGTGTGATCGAGTGGTCAGACACATGAGGTTGGTTGAACTCTCTTAACCTCCGACCAATTTTTAAATTATATATATGTGTGTGTGTCGCGTACTCAAATCAGTTTGTCAGAAATATGCTTGTCAGTTGTAAGTCCCCCCTGGTGTGGGATTCGATTCCCCCGAGTATATATATATATATATATATATATGATTATTAGAAATTAAGTAAAT